TTGCTGATAATATAAACAGTTGATTAACACATATTTTGTATGTTATAGGTATTATATCCTTTGTCCTTTTTTTTTTTGAGACGGAGTCTTGCTCTGTTTCCCAGGCTGGAGCACAGTGGCGCCATCCGCAACCTCCGCCTCCCGGGTTCAAGCGATTCTCCTGCCTCAGCTTCCTGAGTAGCTGGGACTACAGGCACATGCCACCATGCCTGGCTAATTTTTTGTATTTTCAGTAGAGATGGGGTTTCACTATGTTGGCCAGGATGGTCTCAAACTCCTGACCTCATGATCCAACCTCCTCAGCCTCCCAAAGTGCTGGAATTACAGGTGTGAGCCACCGCACCTGGCCTATATCCTGTGTTCTTATAAAGTAAAGTAGAGAAAAGAATTAAGCAGATCATAAAGAAGAGAAAATATTTTTTACTATTCATTAAGCAGAAGTGGTTCATCATAAGAGTCTTCATCCTCATCATCTTCACATTGAGTAGGCTGAAGAGGAGTCTTGGTGGCAGACTTGCTGTCTCGGGTGGCCGAGGCAGAAGAAAATCTTCATATAAGTGGACCTGAGCAGTTCAAACCCATATTGTTCAAGGTCAACTGTATAGTACAGTCATACAATGAAATACTCTGAAGCAGTAGAAAAGAATCAAACTCTTTAAGATGTAGAACCAAGTGTGAAATAAATTATGTATGTATAGAATGCTAGTATATGTTAAAACAAAGACGAAGAAAGGGATAAATGTATATTTTCTCGTATATAGATAGAATACTTCTGGAAAGATACAGAAGAAGCTACTTCTTCTTTTTATCCTTACATGAGTTTATATGTTTTAATTGGTTGCATGTATGCTTCTTTTCCATATCTAATATTTCTTCAGCTCCAATAGCTGCAACACTCCTGGTTTTAGTGGAGATGAGGGACTTACCTGATTAGTGACTTTGGGAAGAACAAACCTTATGTGCTTGCCTCAGCTCTTCCCTTCTTCGTCTGGGGAGTGAGGGCTTGCACAGAGCACTGATGATGTTCTCAGCTGCCTCTCTTGGTTCAGGGACAGGCTGAACTTAAATTATTAATCAAGTGAAGAATAAAGACATCATTGGACATGCAAATGCTCAAAACATTTACCTCCCCTTCATTCTTTCTCAGGAAACTACTGAAAAATTTTCAAATTAAAATGTTGGAAGGAACCAGAAAAAGGGAAGAGATAGTATATAGGAAACAGGCTTCAAGATGAGAGGGGTAATGGGGGGTCCTGGATGTTGAAGGGAACCCCTAAAATACTGTATTTGTTAGCTATAGGGCAGGCCCAGATTGGAGCAAGAAGATGGTGGAGCTGGAGCTGACAGTTACTCAATGCATGATTGTATTGAGAGATGTTAGACATATAGAGGAAAGTGTGGGAATAAAGTAGTGATAGGTATTCAGAAAACTAAGTTAAAAATAAACTCCACCTGGGCGCGGTGGCTCATGCCTGTAATCCCAGCACTTTGGGAGGTGGAGGCGGGTGGATCGCGAGGTCAGGAGTTTGAGATCAGCCTGGCCAATATGATGAAACCCCGTCTCTATTAAAAATACGAAAAAATTAGCCAGGCATGGTGGCGCATGCCTGTAGTCCCAGCTGCTTGGGAGGCTGAGATAGGAGAATCATTTGAACCTGGGAGGCGGAGGTTGCAGTGAGCCGAAATCATGTCACTGCTCTCCAGGCTGGGTGACAGTGCGAGACTCCATCTCAAAAACAAAACAAAACAAAAGAACTCCAAAGAAAACAGTTGTGGAAAGAAGGAAGTGTAATCATAGTATCCTGTATGACTTAGCCTTGAAAAATACGGAATTAATCATATTGCGTTTTAATTAATTAATTAATTTATAACAGAGCTGGGTCTTGCTATGTTACCCAAGCTAGCCTCAAGCAGTCTTCCCACCTCAGCTTCCCAAAGTGCTGGGATTACAGGTGTGAGCCACTGTGCCCAGCTCTCATATTTTTTAAATCAACAATTGTGACATAATTACATCGAGAGGAAGAGGAAGGCAGGTGGAGGTAGGCAAGATGAGTGTTAGAGTGCCAAATTCCATCTGTCCTATTCAGAAGGAAGAACAAAAATCTCCAAAATTGAAAAAAAAAAGAAAAGACAAGAATTAACAATGTATATAAATTATTTAGAAATATGGAGGTAAACAAATACCAGAAGAAACAACTGAAAGAATTCAGATGGTTCCCTCTGGGAGTGTAAATGAGGAGGGGACTCAGGGGCTGCTGTTTCTCACTAGAGGCCTCACATTAATTTGACTTTTTAAACTGTGTACGTGCATTTCTTTGAAATAAAAACTTAATTTTAAAAGCATTAAAAGGCTGAATGTGGTGGCTGACGCCTGTAATCCCAAAACTATGGGAGGCCAAGGCAGGAGGGAATGCTTCAGCCTGGGAGTTCGAGATCAGCCTGGGCAAAATAGCAAGACTCCATCTCTCTTTTAAAAACGTGTGTGTAAACTTTTCACATATCTATATATACACACACATATATACACATATATGAAAAAGAAATTGGCAGGGCATAGTGGCTTGCACCTGTAATTCTAGCTCCATGAGAGGCTGAGGCAGGAGGATTGTTTGAGCCCAGGAGTTCAAGGTTATGTATGATTTATGCCTCCAAATTTTCAGAGGCTGATAACAAAACTCTGGTCTCCTATTTAGCCAACTCTACGTGTATTAAACTCTTTCTCTATTGCAATTCCCCTGTCTTGATAAGGTTCATAGCTCAGTGGCATGAGCTATGATTGCACCACTGCACTCCAGCCCGGATGAAAGAGTAAGAGGCTATCTCAAAATAAATAAATAAATAAATAAAATTAATGAAAAAAAAAAAGTAATTCCTGACAGTAATTCAGTATCTAAATGGAACTTCCAGTTTCCAACCCTTAATCTATTCCTATCAACTAGATCTAGTTGAGAAACTCTACATTCCACACTTCACAAAACCACAAAGAATGGAAATGCTCAGCAGAACATAGCTTTTTCTGGTCTAAGATCTGAGAAAATTCCCCTCCAGATCCTTCTTAAGGAAACCCCATCTGATGATGTGATTAGCATCCTCCACAACATTGCTGTCCCAAATACAAGTGAGGATCACGAATCTATGTTACTTTTTTTTTTTTAATAGCCCCCTCTGTGTCTAACACTATAGCACAGCTCAGTCAAAGCAAGTCTGTGAAAGATAAAAGTACATAATTCAATGTTATGGTTGCAACTGAAGCTAGAGAGGCTAGATTCTCTAACTGTAGTTAGAGAATCAGGTACATATCCCTTAGGCACTTTTCTGCCAATATTATTTTTTCGAATAAAATTTTTGATGAGGTTGGTTAACACACATAGAGTGCAGGTATTCTGTTGCAGATTAGTAGACAAAACAGAGAGAATAACATCTTTTTATGAAAATCTAAGAGCCTACCTAACTTTAGTCATTGGAACACATGTGCTCCATCTCCATCCAGACGTTCGTGCCAGTGGAGTTGCGGGGCTGCTGCAGGTGGAGGTAGGCAAGAAGAGTGCCAATTCCAGTGCTAACTCAGTCAGCCCTATGTGCAACCACATCATGCTCTGATAGCTCGAGAACCACCTCAAAAGCACCGCCACCGGAGGTTCTGTACTGAAATAGGGCTGAAAGGATTCAGGTGGGTCAATAGTGCCTGCTGAAGGAGTTGGCTGTGGGTGGGGCTAGGATTTGGCTTTTCTGGGTGCCTTGGTTTAATGTCATCTAATAACTCCCAAAGTGCACCATTGCTCCTAACAGTTATATACATGATGCATCTTCTGATGAATTTCAATTTTATGAAATTAATTTTTATGAGGTCTTTTTTAACTTTTAATAATTTTTTTTTTTTTTTTACCACACAGAAGCATATGGTTAAAATAAAATACCAGCATATATTTTTTTCCAATGGGAAATCAATTATAAAATACATATTTTTAATCAACTTCAAAAAAGATATATTAGAAAATAAGAGTTTCATGATTTAATGGTAGACATTGAGGATATACATTCTCTCTCCTTTGTATAATAGGTGGCAAAAAATAATATTCCAGTTCTGTAATTTTACAAGCGTTCATGTAACTGCCCCATGAGTTCTTCTTGCTCTTTGCCCAGACAGAGCAGATTTATCAAGACAGGGGAACTGCAATAGAGAAAGATTTCAATACACATAGAGCTGGCTAAATGGGAGACCGGAGTTTTAATATTACTCAAATCAGCCTCTCTGAAAATTTGGAGGCTGGGGTTTTTTAAGGATAGCTTTGTGGGCAGGGGGCTAGGGAATGGGGAATGCCGATTGGTTCTGTTGGGGATGAAATCATAGGAGGCTGGAACTTGTCCTCTTGTGCTGAGTCAGTTGCTGGTTGGTGACCATAAGATCAAAAGAACCAGCTTGGCAGTCTGGGTGGTGCCAGCTGATCCATCAGAATGCAGGATCTGAAAAATACCTCAAATACTAACCTTAGGTTTTTCAATACTAATCTGTAGTTGCAACTGGGGAGGTTGGAATCTGGTGGCCTCTGACTGCATGACTCCTGAGCCATAATTTCCAATCTGTGGCTAATGTGTTAGTTTTATAGAAGCAGTCTGGTCCCCAAGCAAGGAGGGAGTTTGTTTCAGGGAAGAGTCTAGGTAATCATCTTTGTTTCATAAGCTATGAACTAAATTCTTCCCAAAGTTAGTTTGGCCTATGCCCAGGAATGAACAAGGGCAGCTTAGAGGTTAGAAGCAAGGTGGTGTCAGGTCAGCTTTCTTTTGCTGTTAGATTTTTCTCATTTGTGCAAAGGTGGTTTCATTCATATTCCCCATTGTATCTAACTGCGTGCTTTAACATCTTTATTTCCCAATGGGAAAGAATACACTCATGAACAAGCTCAATGGGCTCTCTCTATGAGGTATTTTAAACAGCATTGTTTTTCTGAAGTTGAATTATTGCCGTTAACTGTATGAAAATCTATACAGAACTCTTCAACTACAAAGGAAAACATCGATTTTTATTGTTTATTTCAGTTGTCCAGGGTAATACAATGGCACAGAGAGCTGCAACATGTAACTGGACTTAGAGAAACTAACTCCTGTGAAAACCAATTAGGAAATACAGCACTTCTGCAAAATTCTCTGTCCATCCAGACCAATTCTCAGCAGCCAACATTTGCAAATAGTATTTTAGAGCACTGTGCTCTTTAAGCTCCTTGACGTAAGACAAGTTATTGCATGTCATGACAGAGAGAACGTAACAGGTCCAAAATTTAAGGAGGAGGTAGCTGTTTATTTCACTTTTGATAGTAGACTCGAATCTGCCTTCAAAGAAACTAACGAGAATAGGAATAAATTGCAGACTTTGGGCTCTTTTCTGGCTGACAGGGTTTAAGTAACACCAACATGCCACACTCTGGAGCAGCAGGATCTTTATTTTTGGTGCCACCTCCTCATCTTGCAACAAGTGAGCCACTTCTTTCATGTACTCAGCTGCAAATTTCCCAGCAGGTGGTCCTCCTGTAAAACAAACGTTTGCATTTCCAGAAGTGTTTGGTGTATCTAGTAGCTAATAACACTTTGAATGCTCCTATATGTTCATATTCTTGTTGCCCTATAGAGGATACTTTGGATACTTTGAATTTTCCTGTCTTTTTCCGTCACCTCCCATGCTGCTGCCATGAAGACAAGAAAGTGTGTGTTGATAAGCAAGCAGTGATATGAAAAGCCTGGGAAGGTCTCTGCTTGCTGGTCTCCTCCCTGGTGCCTTTAAGCAAGCACCCAGGAGTGAGTATTGAGTGAATATTTCTTTCTTTCCTTTTTTTTTTTTTTTTTTTTTTTGAGACAGAGTTTTGCTCTTTTTGCCCAGGCTGGAGTGTAATGGCACGATCTCAGCTCACAGCAACCTCCACTTCCCACTTCCCAGGTTCAAGCGATTCTCCTACATCAGCCTCTCAAGTAGCTCGTATTATAGGCATGCACTACCACGCCCAGCTAATTTTTTGTATTTTTAGTAGAGACAGGGTTTCACCATGTTGATCAGCTGGTCTCGAACTCCCGACCTCAGGTGATCCGCCTGCCTTGACTTCCCAAAGTGCTGGGATTACAGGCGTGAGCCACTGTGCCCGGCCAAGAGTGAGTATTTCAAGGTGAATAAAACCTGGCTGTGTTCGCTTAGCAAATATCCCTCGTGGTCTCATTCTGGATTATCTGCCTTTAGTACTGGTGGGGAAAAAAAAGAAGGATCCCAGAGCATTAGTGCCAAGAGCAAATTGAAAGATTGAGCAGCACTTTCAGGGACTGACTGGCAGGAGGGAGGTTTTCCTGAGTTTTTGTTCGTTGCTGTCCTGTTCCCCTTACACATTTCTTGCCTCAACTCTTTTGCAGCTATGGGACTAACACGACCTTACAAGATTTTTCTTGTTTAGCCACTGACCCAGCCTGGCCCTAGACTCTACTTTCACCATATACCTGAGCCCCAGTACAAATCTCAAACTCCAACAAGGTACTAGCCAAGACGACACAGAATGAAGACTTTTTAGGTGGTGAGGAGTAGCTGACAAAGCTGCTCGGATTCTTGCCACTGGAGGTTTTTTTTTTTTTTTTTTTTTTTTCTGAGACAGGGTCTCACTCTATTGTACAGGCTAGAGTGCAGTGACGTGATCTCAGCTCACTGCAACCTCCATCTCCTGCGTTCAAGAGATTCTACTGCCTCAGCCTCTCGAGTAGCTGGAATTACAGGAACGTGCTACCACACCCGGCTAATTTTTGTAGTTTTAGTACAGATGAGGTTTCATCATGTCGGCCAGGCTTGTTTTGAACTCCTGACCTCAGGTGATCCACCCATCTCCGCCTCCCAAAGTGCTGGGATTGCAGGTATAGCCACCACGCTCGGTGCCACTGGAGTTTTGATCCCACTTGGATTTCTCTTACTTGTTCTCCACAGTTCCATGGTCCTAGGAATATTCTATTCAACATTAAAGCTTTACCTGAAGCCTAGGCAGAGGCCTTTTCTCTAGCTTCCTACCAGAACAGCTAAGGCTAAATACCATCAAATTAAGGAATTCTGATCCTTTTATAATTAGCTAGATCTTCCCACAAATGGTGAAGATAGCTACACAGGAAACTCACCCCACGCCATGTTGGGGGAGCCCTTGGCCCCCACTCAGATGGGTGCATCTCCTATGTTTCCTGTCTCCTTTCTAACTCTGTGCCAGTGGTTCCCAGCCATTCTGGCAACAAGGACTCCTTTCACTGTTTTCTTTCGTGAACTCCATTCTTTGAAAGATTTAGTCTATCAAACTACATCTAAGTAATTCATCTTCCCACTTAAAACTCAGTCTAAGGGCTGGGCGTGGTGGCTCATGCCTGTAATCCCAGCACTTTGGGAGGCCGAAGTGGGCGGACCATCTGAGATCAGGAGTTTGAGACCAGCCTGGCCAACATGCTGAAACCCCGTCTCTACTAAAAATACAAAAAATTAGCTGGGCGTGGTGGCGGGCACCTGTAATCCCAGCTACTAGGGAGGCTGAGGCAGGAGAATGGAGTGAACCCTGGAGGAGTAGGTTGTTGCGATGAGCCGAGGGCACGCCACTGCATTCAAGCCTGGACAACAAGATTCAAACTCCATCTCAAAATAATAATAATAATAATAATAATAATAATAATAATAGGCCGGGCGCGGTGGCTCATGCCTGTAATCCCAGCACTTTGGGAGGCCGAGGTGGGCAGATCACGAGGTCAAGAGATCAAGACCATCCTGGCCTACACTGCGAAACCCCGTCTCTACTAAAAATACAAAAAAAAAAAAAAACCCCCAAAAAAAACAAATTAGCCAGGCATGGTGGCAGCTGCCTGTAATCCCAGCTACTTGGGAGACTGAGGCAGGAGAATCACTTGAACCCAGGAGGCGGAGGTTGCAGTGAGTCGAGCGCCATTGCACTCCAGCCTGGGCAAAAAGAGCAAAACTCTGTCTAAAAAAAAAAAAAGACAAAAAATGAAACAAAACAAAACAAAACTAATAATAATAAACATAATCAAAGACTCTTATAGCCACCAGCCAGAGCTTCTTGTTAGGAAATGTGTTATTGAGGACAATCTATAAAATCTCATTACACATCCTAAAATTTATCAATTAGAAAAAAATGGAGTGAGTTTGGACTTGATGATTATTAGAGCAATGTGTGTTCAAACAGTTACCACTTTATTTTCCACTTTGCTTTCTAGCTAAGTATACATTAATTGTTGTCTGTCACTAATGCCCCTATTGGCTTACCTAGTAAGTATCTTAAGAGTATTAAGTTTTTATTGATTTTTCTAAGACATTTACTGTACAATGCATAAAATAAAAAGTAAAATATCAGGTAGTTTTACTCTGCATTGGAATCATATCACTAGGTTGAAATTATATCAAATCATTGTAGTCTTTGATTTTTTAAAATGTTAATGAGAAGTTTGATAGGCAGTTTAGTACATATATATTTTAATTAATAAAAATGGGAGACATTTAATTAGTAGTTTATTTGATGGGCACATTCTTTTAAAACATGAGATCCTTGAGGATAAAATAATTAGTAATATTTTTGGCACAAGGACAAAAAAATTTCATCCAATGAAATGTTATCAGAATTTTAAGATTACAGCTAAGAAAAATTACTAAACTACAGCGTTATAAAATGAGTGTCATGAAACACTCATTTTAGTACAGCCAGTTAGATCAGTACCTGTGAAGGCCAGCAGTCCAATTTTCTGGGCAGCTTGAGCTCTCCTCTCAATGGGTAGGGATTCATTCATCAACACTTGACCAAGTACAACAATTTTTTCCTTATGAAAATAAGTCTCAGTTGAAGGGATTTTTTTTTCCTTCTTCTTAACAAAAAAGCCCTTAACAGTGGCACAGCAGTATTTCTGGAAGTGCCGACACAGCCCCGCAAAATACCCATACATCTTAACCCAAATTTGCCTACAAGAAAATCGGCTGTTAGCCATTGTGGAAAAAGGCCAATGGTCCTTCAGGTGCATCACTGGCAGTCACAGGAGTTCACAATCAAGAACTCTGGAATACATCACTTAGCAACACTGTGGAATGGAATATACAAATCAGGGAAAGTAATAGATGCCTAAATTCTTCAGCTTGTCATTGAAGGCCTTCTACTATTTGGACTAAACCAATTTTACTTTCATTTCTCTGGTGTACAAAACCTCAACTTAAACTTGTTTCCCCTAATGCACATGAATCTCACTATTGTCTTTGAACCTTTGCTCAGGCAGGGTATATTTGGAACTTGCCCATTCTAGTCTGATTATTCCAACATGTATTTTGCTTCTTTCCATCAATCTTTCATAGTATTGTTACCTCTTTTGCTTGTTTGCTACCCCAAGAGAGTTCTCTACATCATAGATTTATCTTATTTTGCTGAGAAAATAGAGCAATGAAAAGACACCTTGCGTAACTCTTACCAGTGCATTCACCCACCTATCTGCATCTACGGTCCCCATAGACTCTGACTTTCCTCCTGTTACTATGGATATTCTCTCTGTTTGTGCAGTAGATGTCAATCAGTTCCTCTCACCTCAAGAATGTTGCTCTACAATTCTCTTATCTTGGTAATTTTTCCATCTCAACTGGACCCTTTGCATTATCAACAAACACGCTATACTTTTTTTCTCATTACAGAAAGAAAACTCTCTTGACTTCATTTACTTTCTCCCTGCAGCGACTGCACATTCACTTCCCCGCTCCCCTTTACAGTACAGCTCTTTAAAGAGCTGCTATACTCCCCATCTCCAGTCTTTCTCATTCTTTCTTACATGAATTCCAAATAAGATTTCAACCCCATGACTCCACTGACATTGCCTGTTAGGGTCATTGAATTGTCAGTCTTTGACATTTGACACTCCTTTCTCTCTGAAACACATTTCATCCAGCTTCTAAGATATCACACTCCTAATTTTTCTCCTCCTGGCCACTCATCATTTTCCTTTACTGGTTCCTCTTCTTCTTTATGACCTCTAAATATTAGAGGCCCCAAGGTTCATCAGTCTTTGTATGTGTTCTTTTTTTTTCTTTTTCTTTTTTTTTTTCTTTTGAGACTAGGTCTCTCTGTCCCCCAGGCTGGAGTGCAGTGGCATGATCTTGGCCCACTGTAGCCTCGACCTCCTGGGCTCAGGTGATCCCCCTACCTCAGCCTTATGAGTATCTGGGAACCACAGGTGCACACCACCATGACCAGCTAATTTTTCTGTAGAGATGAGGTTTTGCCATGTTGCCCAGGCTGGTCTTGAACTCCTGGGCTCAAACAATCCGCCCACCTAGGCTTCCTAAATGCTGGGATTACAGGCGTGCCACCATGCCTGGCCCTTTTTCTTTATCTATACTTTCAAGATAAACCAGTTTATGGCTTTTACTATTACCCATATGCTGAAGACTCCCAATTATATATATTATGTATATAGTATATTAATTATATGTATATATAATTTTTTTTTGAGACATGTTGCCCTGTTTCCCAGGCTGGAGTGCAGTGGCCCAATCATAGCTCATTGCGGCCTTGATCTCCTGGGCTCAAGTGATCCTCCTGCCTCAACTTCCTGAGTAGCAGGGACAATAGGCCACCACATCTAGCAAGTTTTAAATTTTTTTTTTTTAAGAAATGGGGGTCTCACTATGTTGTCCAGTCTGTTTTGAACTCCTAGCTTCAAGCAATCCTCCCACCTTGGCCTCCCAAAGTGCTGTGATTACAGGCATGAGCCACTACGCCTGCTCCACTTTTATATCTTTAACTGGATTTCTCACCTGAACTCCAGACTCATATTCAGTCATAAGCTTGATATCCCCATTTGAATGTCCAAGACGCTTTTCAGTTTTAACATGTCCAAAACTGAGTTCCAGGTCTTCCTCCCTAGACCTGCTGCTTCTCAGTTTCTGTATCTTGGAAGATGGTATTACCTCCTCCTAGTTGTTCAGGTAAAAAATTCTAGATTCATCCTTGGCTTCTATCTATCTAACATCTTGTTTTCAACTTATCAACGAATGTATTGGCTCTACTTTAAAACATATCCCAAATTTGAGACAGTCTACATAATATACCTGCATATGCTCTTCAAATATATTAATGTGTGAAAGCTTAAAAAAATTGGGGTTACTCTGCTACATTAAAAGAGCCTGAGAGACATGACAACTAAAATAAAAATGTAGGCCAGGTGCAGTGGCTCTCACCTATAATCCCAGCACTTTGGGAGGCCAAGGCAGGAGGACCATCTGAGGTCAGGAGTTCGAGACCAGCCTGGTCAATATAGTGAAACCCCTTTTCTACTAAAATTACAAAAAGTAGCCAGGCGTGGTGGTGCATGCCTGTAATCCCAGCTACTCAGGAGGCTAAGACAGGAGAATCACTTGAACCTGGGAGGCAGATGTTGCAGTGAGCTGAGATCTGGCCTTTGCACTCCAACCTGGGTGACAAGAGTGAAGCTCCATCCTCAAAAAATAAAAAATAAAAAATAAATAATAAATGGCCGGGTGCGGTGGCTCATGGCTGTAATCCCAGCACTTTGGAAGGCCGAGGTGGGCGGATCATCTGGTCAGGAGTTCAAGACCAGCCTGACCAACATGGCGAAACTCCATCTCCACTAAAAATACACAATTAGCTGGGCGTGGTGGCGCATGCCTGTAATCCCAGCTACTCAGCCGGCTGAGGCAGGAGAATCGCTTGAACCCAGGAGGCGGAGGTTGCGGTGAGCCGGGATTGTGCCATTGCACTCCAGCCTGGGCAACAAGAGTGAAACTCCATCTTGAAAAATAAGTAAATAAATAAAAATAAAAATGTAATCCCTGCTTGGATTCTGTACATAAATACGTGTGTATGTGTCTCTGTGTGTGTATGTTTGTGTGTGTGTGTATGCTGTAAAGGGTATTACTGGGACAATTCGGAAAAACAGACCTTCCTTGTCCAATAAGGTAGCCACACATGGCTGAGTATTTGAAATGTGACTAGTCTCAATTGAGATGTGTTGTAAGTGCAACACGCACCCTGGACTTTGAAGACTTTGTAGGAAAAAATGTAAAATATTTCAATAATTTTTATATTGATCATATTTTGAAATATTTTATATTAGGTTAAATAAAATATATTATTACAGTTAATATCCTCTGTTCTTTTTTCTTTGTCTTAAGTGTGGGTACTAGAAAATCCAAAACACCAAGCGTGGCCTCTTTTCAAGGCTTTTGTACTTATTGTTGTGCAGGGGAGAAAACAATTTCTTTTTTTCCCCTTTTTAGGTTTTCAGTTGAGACACTGTCCTGAAAATAAAAGTCAGATTAACAAAAGAAAAATAAACGGAAGTTATTAATGTGTGTCGTACCCAACGCACAGGAGAGCCTTCAGTTCAAAAGTATTTCTCTCTCTAAGCAGTGGCTTAAGGGCTTTGCTTAAATAGTATTTTAACAAAGAGCCACGAATCCTATCTAGTGACAAGACAAAGAAAAGACCATCTTCAGGCTCCCAAAAGGTGAGAAAATGCGGGAAGGTAAATTGATGGGAAGAGTGAAGTCTGTTTCTGGGTCCTCTAGCAGTGCTATCTCTGAGCTTTGGTTACGAGCTGACCAAGGCAGAAAGGAGACTGTTTTAACCTTTTCACTATAATTGCCAGCATTTTAGGGAGGAATATTTTAGTTGCCTCCAGTTGCCTCTGCTTGGAATGTTCTTCCCAGAGATAATCCACGTGACTCATCCCAATAGCTCCTCGGATCATTCCTCAAATGTAATTTTCTGTGAGGCCTTTGCACTCTTTGCACTCCTTTTTTTTTTTTTTTTTTTGAGATGGGGTCTTGCTGTGTCACCCAGGCTAGGCTGCAGTGGCACGATCATAGCTCACTGTAGCCTCAAACTCCTGGGCTCAAGCAGTCCTCCCGCTCCAGCCTCCCAAGTAGTTGGGACCACTGGTGCACACCATCACGTCCGGCTAGTTTTTAAAATTTTTGTAGAGATGGGAGTTTCAGTATGCCGTGCAGGCTGGTCTTGATTTACTGGCTTCAAGGGATCCTCAGCCTTGGCCTCCCAAAGTGCTGGAATTACAGGTGTGAGCCACTGTGCCCAGCCCCTGACCACTCTCTTTAAACCTGTGATCTTTGCTTTCTCCCTGTGTCTCTCTTCACCTTACCTTGTGCAATCATTTTTCCCCTTCTCTGCTTTGCTCTCTTCTCTCGCCAGGATATAAGGCCTGGGAGTGCAGGGATTGTTATTTCTTTTGTTTTTCTCCATTACTCTATCTCCAGTGCCAAGAACAGTCCTTGGCATACACCTTGTTCAGAGTAAGTAAGCAACAAATACTTGTTGAATGTATGAGAAGTTAGAGATCTAATTTTTAGCAAACAATTATTATTCCTTGAACAAGGTGTACTTAGGACTGCCTCAAAATCAAAAGATAACATTTGTTTACTAAGAGGTACTGTCTCCAGGAAAGGTCAGGGATAAAAATATTTTATTTGAGTTTTTCTGATACAGCAAGAAGTACTGGCATTTTTCAGTGAACTAAGGTTTATAATTTTACTTTATAATTTTGTAAAGTAACTAAGGCAATTTAGTTAAACAGTGTAGTAGCAAACCTTATAGAGGAAAATGTTTTTACCACTGACTCAGTAAAAGCAATCACTGGTATTTAATGAGTCACGTGGTAAATACTGTGAGAGTTGAAAGTCAGGGGCTCCTTTGTGATGATGCTGGTGGGGTCTGAGTGGGAACAGAACATACACAAATCAGTGAAGGAACTTTTTTTTTTTTTTTTTTTTCCCGAGACAGAATCTCACTCTGTTGCCCAGGCTGGAGTGCAGTGGCACGATCTTGGCGTGAGCCGCCGTGCCTATTTGCCCTCAAGGAGCTTATAGTCTCTGCTCATAGATACCACAACAGTGAAACTTAGCTGTCCAATTAGCTTTACAACAAATCTGAGATTTATTATCTCTATTTAGAGATAAAGGAATTTCAAATTAAAAATAAAATCACCAGCTGTGGTGGCTCATGCCTGTAATCCCAGCACTTTGGGAGGTCGAGGCAGGCAGATCACCTGAGGTTGGGAGTTCGAGACCAGCTGATCAACATGGAGAAACCCCATCTCTACTAAAAATACAAAATTAGCTGGGCGTGGGGGCGCATACCTGCAATTCCAGCTACTCAGGAGGCTGAGGCAGGAGAATTGCTTGAACTCAGGAGGTGGAGGCTGCAGTGAGCCGAGGTCGCACCATTGCACTCCAGCCTGGGCAACAAGAGCAAAACTCTGTCTCAAAATAGATAAATAAAATCAAGGTGAAAATGAGGTGCAGTGTGTTCCATAAATACCAACTCAGAAAGGGCATGTGAAAAAAAAAAATCAGACTCTGCACATGATGCTAGTAATTCAAAAATAATTTTTATTTTAACTTACATGACTGAAAGATCAATGAATACAAATGCCACAGAACTGAAAGCACCCCCTCAACCAAACATAAAATACAGAAGTGAATACAAAAGATCTGAAATTAATTACTCATGCAATAGTCAAAAAAATAAAAAAAAATGACAAACCAAACACAAAATCCTGTAACATCTGTGTTTGATTTTCTATAAAAAGAAGCATTTCAACCATTTAACATAAACTATAGACTATACATACTAACTACAGCCTGTACAATGTACCTTTAAAGTGAAGGATATATGACTATATATAATATTTATAAATATACAGATATATACATTATAACTTCACAGTTGAAAGAACTATTTGCCAGAAGCCTGGCAAACAATTTGCACTTTGAAATGAAATGAGTCCTTTTTAAAAGTCTTGCTAAAATGTAAATATTTAAAATGACATCTAAATGATACAAACACATCCATAGTATAGTTGATATCCCACAGTTTAAATTACACTCACATATAATGTTTTGATACCTTGGCATACCCCACCTTGTATACTCTTTAGAGGAAGAAAAGATATTTTAATAAGAGCTACTGAATGGTCTTATACTTTGCTTAATGAACTTGCATCTCTGATACTGAAGCAATAATGGGACCTGATGT